TTTAAAAAAGAATATTTCAGATTTTATTTTTACAAATCAAATCTAGAATACATCTCAAAATCAATGTTTCATTTTTGAGTTCTATTTATATTATTCATGTTTTAAATGAAAATTATTAACTACAAAAATAAGGAAAAAATTATCTATGAAGGATAATTATTTATTTAAAATCTGATAAAATCATAAAAGTTCTCCCAAAAAAATCATTCTCCAAAAAAAAATATAGGTCTATTTTGACAATTACCTTTTTGATAGTCTTACTCGAAGTAATTAAGTTGTCTACATATTAACCGCTAACATTAACGATTAAGAGTTAACCGTAACGATTAACAGTTAACGGTTAACGGTTAACAGTTAACGATTAATGATTAACTATTAACAGTTAACGATTAACAGTTAACGGTTAACGGTTAACTATTAACAGTTAACGATTAACAGTTAACGGTTAACGATTAACAGTTAACGGTTAACGATTAACGGTTAACAGTTAATGATTAATGGTTATCTGAAAAAGATGTCCTTCTTTGGATAAAAAGGATAAATATGAATCATTTTTTTAACGAGGAATATATTTCGTCTAAATCGTAAAGTTTAGAGGTATATTTGTCCTTTTTCCTACTTTGAAATAATCTCCAACACACTGTTATAGTTCTCTCAACATCAATAACACACTCACTAATCTCACAAATAAAATTTGAAAAGAATAAAATATAGCAGAAGTCTTACTTTATGAAAATAAAAATATTGTTTCGATAAACTCTTGACTCAAAAGAAATATAACCGTATAATTATCTCATATATGATAAAATCCTTTTTTTCTTTGGGAATTATTGAAGCAAGCTTTCAATCCCTTTCACCCAATCATAATTTTAAAAAATTTACTTCCAAAAAAGGTGAAGCAAGGTGCAAAGTACACAAAGAAAAATAATTACAACAAATTGCTTAAATATTGGTCCATGGTGGACCTACAAATCTAGTACATTGAATTTTGCATTTTATATACATTGAGATGTCAAAGGTGATGTATAAGAAAAAGAAGTATTGTTAAACAACTTGTTACCATATATAATGCACTTCAAATTTGGACACTCATCTTCATTTAAAAAATGTGCAAACCTACCCCTATACCTATAGTGTATTACCAAACTTTTTGCCAAACGTATCTAATCAGCTCGTATTTGTTACGTGACGTTTGAAAAAAATGATCAATTCAAGTAACATTTGAAGAATGAAAAATTTAGGAGAACAATATATGTGTCTTTTAAAATATTCGTTTTATCAGATTTCAATGTTATTTTTTTAAATAGAAAGAAAGCTACTAACAATATCGCGCTTCTACGAATTTACCTCTCATGTAGAAATTAAGACTTTGAAATATTTGTCTGAAAGAGACATCTAATGTGTATCCTATAGTTTTTATTTTTTACTTCCAAAAAAAGTGAATCAAGGTGCAATGTATACAAATAGTTGAAAAATGTATACCATATTTTATAATTTTTACTTCAACTTGAAAAATGTTTTAAGCAGTTTTTTATACAATTGTTTGATTCACCTGAAAATTGTGTACTTGATTTTAAATAGTTGGTTTGACACTAATTTTTATAATTGAGATGCAGTCAATTAATTGATGTCTAACAATCAATAGAGCGAGATATACCCTAGTGCTTAGTATCTATTAGTGTGTTTTTAACCTCCTCCTGCCTTAGAAATCTCAAATAAGGTGTGCAGATCTACTCTGATAGTGTATTACTAAACTTTTTTCCTAGACATCCAACCTAACTCGTATGATTGCGCAATTTTGAAAGAAATTTACCTCTCATGTAGAACTTAACACTTGCACCCAACAATATTCCAACAACAGTACTTTGAAAAAAATTGTCTGAAAAAGACATGATGTCACTACATCAAAAATGATCGTTAGCGACAATAGCTTAATTGCCACAAAATATGTATTTTTAGCAGCAATTAACAGTACTCTTTGTATATGTCCCTAAAACCTTTAGCAACATTGATTCTAATGACACTTAACTAATGTCGGTAAAAACTTTAGCACTCTTATCTATATTTTTTGCCGCTAAAAGTTATTTTTATTGTTGCATATATATCCCATATTTTGAAGATTTTACCTCCAAAAAAATAGTTGGAACAAATAGCTAAAGTATTGGTCATTGAATCTTGCATTATACATTATAAGATGTCAAAGTGATATCAAAGAAAAAGGGAAAAAGTACTCACACATCTTTACTTTTGAAGGGCAGGCAAATATACCTCACAAACTTAAGTGATTTAAAGTTGAAACATATACATATATATTTTTTAAATGAAGCATATATATCACTCCATCTAATAAATGGTGCATATATACCCTTATTATCTAACAAATGATGTATATTTACTCACTTATTAACAGACTAATTTTTTTTTTAAAATCGTTTTGAATTTCATCAAGTCTATACTCCAATAAACTTTGAAGTCGGGACATTTATAGACATCGGAATTAATTTTTCAACAAAGTAAGATTTAACGATTAACTGTCATCGGAAAAATAATACAAAGGTTAATGATCACCAAAAATATAACAGTAAGAGTGAATCTGTAGTCAAAATCATGGAAATTATAGAAATAATATCTTCATAAGAATGATTAAAATTTAAATAAAAAAAAGAATATGTCAAGTTATATTTTTACAAATCAAATCTAGAATACATCCTCAAAAATCAATGTTTCATTTTTGAGTTCTATTTATATTATTCTTGTTTTAAATGAAAATTATTAACTACAAAATTAAGGAAAAAATTATCTATGAGGGATAATTATTTATTTAAAATCTGATAAAATCATAAAAGTTCTCCCAAAAAATCATTCTCCAAAAAAAATATAGGGAAAATCTTGACAATTACCTTTTTGATAGTCTTACTTGAAGTAATTAATTTGTCTACATATTAACCGCTAACATTAACGATTGACAGTTAATGATTAACAATTATCCGTTAACAGTTAACGGTTAGTAGTTAACAAGTAATGATGAATTGTTAACAGTTAACGATTAACAATTAACTGTTAACGATTAACGGTTAACAGTTAATGATTGATGGTCATCTGGAAAAAAAAAAAAAAAGATAATCCTTCTTTGGACAAAAAGGATAAATATGAACTATTTGTTTAACGAGAGATATATCCGCTCTAAATCGTAAAGTTTAGGGGTATATTTATCCTTTTTTCCTACATTAAAATAATCTCCAACACATTGTTATAGTTCTCTCAATAGCAATAACACACTCACTAATCTCACAAATAAAATTTGAAAAAAAAAAATATAGCAGAAGTCTTACTTTATGAAAATAAAAATATTATTTCGATAAACTCTTTATTCAAAAGAAATATAACCGTATAATTATCTCATATATGATAAAATCCTTTTTTTTGGGCATTATTGAAGCAAGCTTTCAATCCCTTTCACCCAATCACCCATATTTTAAAAAAAATTTACTTCCAAAATAGGTGAAGCAAGGTGCAAAGTACACAGAAAAAAAATTACAACAAATTGCTTAAATATAGGTCCATAGTGGACCTATAAATCTAGTACATTGAATTTTGCATTTTATATACATTGAGATGTCAAAGGTGATGTATAAGAAAAAGAAGTATTGTTAAACAACTTGTTACCATAAATAATGCACTTCAAATTTGGACACACATCTTCATTTCAAAAATGTCCAAGCCTACCACTATATTTATAGTGTACTACCAAACTTTTTTGCCTCACGTATCTAATCAGCTCGTATTTATTACGTGATGTTTGAAAGAAATGATTAATTCAAGAAACATTTGAAGAATGAAAAATTTAGGAGAATTGCTGATTTTTTTTTAATTAGAAAGAAAGCTACTAACACTTCCACGAATTTACCTCTCATGGAAGAAATTAAAACCTTCACCCAACTATATTCAAACCACAGTACTTTAAATTTGAAATATTTGTCTGAAAAGACATCTAATGTGTATCCTATTATATTTTTTACTTCCAAAAAAAGTGAAGCAAGGTGCAATGTACACAAAGAATGTATACAAAGAAAGATAGTTAGAACATGATGGACCTACAAATATTCCAACAACAATAACACACTCACGGAAGTCATAAGGGTAGAGAACTATTTTGATACTCTCGACTCAAAAAAAGATGTAATGATGTAGTCATCTCATATATATGAGTTAGGGGTGCGCATCGGTCGGTTCGGTTCAGTTTTATGTGTTATTGGTTCGGTTTATTGGTTTTCGATTTGTAAATACGTCAAACCGATAATCAAACCAATAACATATTTCTTATCAGTTTTTGGTTAATCGGTTTATGGTACTTAACGGTTCGATTTTCGGTTTAACCAATAAGAAAATACTCATATATATTATATACACGATAAGAAATTTTTCATATAAACCATATGATTTTTCCAGCATTTGGCCTGAAAGTAATAATCATAAAAGTAACAATCATTTTTCCTGCAAGTTTAGACACTAGACACATTCAAAGGAAAAAGTGTGAAAGTAACAATCGTTTAGCCATTAACAAAAAGTGTGAAAGTGACAATCGTTTAACCATTAACAATAAGACTAGTAAATTTAGTATAGTCTTATTGGGTTATCGATTTAACCATTAACAAAAATCATAAAACCGGAAACCAAATCATAACCCAATAAAAAAAATTGCATAACCGTTTAAAAACCGTTAGCCCAATAACCCAATATCAATAGTGTTTTTTTCGGTTCGGTTTATTGGGTAAATCGGTTTTTGCACACCCCTAATATGAGTGAATTCCATTGCTGGCATTCTTGAAGCAAGCTTTTAGAATCGAAACGTAGTTGATTGATGAAAGTGAAACTGATCAACCAACAAGGTAGAAGTAATCGATGAATTAATCGATTTTCGAGAACACTAGCACACAAGTAGGGATCAATAATCAAAACTTTGAGAGAGTTACTATAAGAAAGAAAAACATTAAGCACAATTTAGACAAACTAAACAGAGTTTATTACACATAACAAAGTAGTTGCAAAGTACAAATCTGAAAGACAAGGAACCTGTACAATCAAGGACTTTTTACAATCCTATCAAAAACTAGAACTTGGACACTAGAAAAACAACCTAGATGGACTAGTTGCCATGACCAAGCCCCAGATTAACAGACACCATGCTACAGAAATCGTTCGATTCAACTACAGACGACTAAGATGAAAAGTAAAACACTTATAGTAACAACGAGGCCGACTTCTTAATACGAAAACTAACATACTAGAACTAAGAAAAAACTGTCTGATTCTGCAGTGTAGTACTATCAAGGCAAATGCATGATATCTATATAAGTTTAAGAGAAGCATTATTAGTTCATCCCCGAAGGACGGGGGACAAGGAGCAACACTAGTGAAAACTTTAGCACCAGGACTTAGGTAACTGTATTCTCAGGATACCGTGGTTGTGTAAGAGGCAGCCTCCGTGTGTGACACCGGAGTTTGAACGATGTGGAACAAGCTTTCAAGTAGATGAAGCCTGCAAAAAATGGATGGAAAAAGTTGTTTGTCATAGCCTCCTGGAAAACAACCAAGCCACTGGAGCATCACAAGGCCATTAGTTAGCCAAAAACCACAATCATGTTTACTTCTATCCCACCAAGATTAATGAACCAAATAGCTACAACTCATAGTTCAAACACCTTTGGATGATGCATATACCCTTGTGCTCCAGTTGGCTTTTAGGAGAGGATATCACACCTCCACAAGTCCTCAACAAGAGCCTCGACTCTGCTGCTACCGATGGCATTGCAGTGCTGGAGATTTAAACCAATTAAGCTCTCACCCAATGTTCTAAGAGACGAAAAGCTCTTGTTTGTTACCATGGAGCAACCTGAGAGTGAAAGAACCTGCAAATTCAATTGCACTCCTTGGGATAAAGCAGCTACACCCGAATCAGTTATTGAACACTTTGAAACATCAAGATCATTAAGTAATAGACAATTATCAGCAATTGCCACCAAGCTTGCATCGGTAACCCTCCGGCATCCATCAAGATTCAGCAATTCCAAAGTCTCACCGTGTAGCCTAGCTAATGAGAGCACCACTTCATCGGTCACGTTCAGGCAGTGAGTAAGATTAACCTTGACGAGTCCTGCCTTGGAGCTCTCCAAAAGTGGGAGAAGCCCAGCATCTGTTATTCTAGTAAGCCCACTGAGATCCAAATGATGAAGCTGGGGACATAGCTTCCCCACCATAGCTAAGCTTCTGCTACCGAATCCTGCACAGCTTCGGATGGACAACGATCGGAGAGAATCACAGGGAGACAACAAGGAAGCTTGTGGAGGCAAATCCCTGACTCCCGAACACTTCACCAGGGAAAGCGACTTCAACTTGCTGCAGATTGAAACAGCATTTAGGATGCCTGTTTGGGTGATCTTGTCGCACTCTTCCAACAAGAGATGCTCGAGAGATCCAGCAGCTTGAGCAAACGCAACAAGTCCACTATCAGTAACACGTTTACACTCGCGAAGGCACATGCTTTTAATATTTGTGCAGCCCTTTCCCACTGCTTCAAGACTCGGATTCGTCAGTCCAATGCACGAAGTGACAGTCAAAGAAGCCAGAGATTGCAAACCCTGAGCAGCACCCATAACCCAAAACCCCCTCGGACTTACGTGACCAAGTTTACACAGATTAAGATCGATAATCACCTTGCCATAGTGACCAATGACAGCGAGGGAGAAATCCGTAATGTTTAGAGAATGAAGTTTCACTTTCTTCAACCTTGTATTGCCCGACGACAGAAGGCTAACAACTGCCTGATCACCTACAAGAGGGCAGTCTTTAATAGTAAGAGACTCTAATTTGGTACAACATCTTCCAATAGCTTGCAGGCCCTCATTTCCAATATTTTTACAAGATTCGATCGTCAAAGAAGTCAAACTTGGGCAATTCTCTGCTATTGCAACCAGACCTTTGTTGGAAATTGAGGGACATTTAGTTAAGTCTAGCTTTTCTAATGAATGACATCCTCTTGCAATCTCCATAAGACCTTCATCTCCGACATCCTGAACATCCCACAATGAAAGAACCCTAAGAGACGGACAACCGTGGGCGATTGCTGATAGACCAACATTAGTAATACCCCGAACGGGGTTGCTCCCCCGAACTGAGAGCTTTCCAAGACCCCCACGGCTAGAAGTTCCAACTGCCATAGCTGAGAGCCTAATGTCTGTAGCTTTCTTCCCTTCTAAACACCTAGTAAGATATCCGTCACACTCCACTTCAAGATCTTCATCAGCTGATGCCATTTTCGTATCATCTGAAGCCCCATTAGCAGCTGAAAGATTAGTATGGCGAATATCAGAGCTCCTCATATTACTCAAGAGCATAAGCCAACGCTTAGAAACGCAAGCTGCTGCACTCCTTTCACGGCCTCCTTCCAATCTTCTGAAGATCTCAAATAGGCATTCATTGGGAAGTACTTCAATGGATGGATTCTTAGTCCTCTCTTCAACGACAAACGGGCCACTAATGCGTGCCCTCTTACTAACAGGACAGTAAATATCAGCATGACCAAGAGCCAACATAAGACCCAAATCAGCTGAACAAAGTGATCCTCCACTATAGAACTCATTATCACCTGAAGATCAAACATCAAGAACTTCATCAACTATCTTTTCCACCAAATCAACATACTAAAAATCCCAAGATTATAATTTCATGCCCATTTCTTACAAAAATCTTATCTTTAACTTCATTTCCAGTCAGAAAACTCATTACATAAAAAACTTAGAACTAAGATCTACCAAATCAGATCAAAAGTTGAACAACAAACAAATTCTTAACTACAAAGACCAGAAAAATGTTTCTTATTCACACCTTTTATCAAAAAGTGCCAATCTTTAACATCAATCTAAACAATACACACACAAAAACTTAATAAAGCATAAAAAAAGTTTAAATAGGAGCAAGATTAACATCTTCAAAGCCAAAGCAACAACTTTTTAATCTTTTTTCAAATTGGGGGAAATGGGGCAAGGATTTACAAGGTGAAAGTTAAGATAACCAACCAACCAACCAACTAAATGGAGCTACTAAAATTCCCAAGCAACAATTTTTTTCTTCTAGTTACTCCTACACCCTTCATATTCATATCAACAATCAAGAACCCTTAATAGATTCATGGAGCACTAAAAATGAATCTATTCTATGAAAACTAAATCACCCAAATGCCAAATTCCTTAAAACTCAAAAACCCATAATCCAATACATGAAAACAAACCAAGAAAACTCACCACTGTAATTAACAAGAGTAGACATGGTTGTTGCTTCACTTCAACACAAACCCCCCAAAGGAAATTTAAAAAAAACAAACTTTGCACCAAGAACAACAAACCCCAAATTTTATCTTCAACCAAGATTTGCATTACACATGAAAAAGTTCAAGATTTCAACAAAAACCCTATCTAAGTAGGGAAAAAAAAAAAGGAAAGTTGAAAGTAGAGAAGAAAAAAAAGAACTAGTATTGTTCTTTGGTTACTTTGCCAATTGTTATGGTGCACTGAATATATATATACACACATACACACAAAAAAATAATTAAAAAAATCAATTAGTGAAAAATATTATTTTATTGATAAAAAATGTGTTTGTTAAGGTGTCAATCCATAGAAAAACATAAATCATTACCTTTTTCTCCAATTTTTGCACAATTCATTGAATCATTCCCAAAAACCGGTTTTTTCCTGCTGCTTACATCATACCGGTTAAACCGCGTACTGTTGTCCGGTTCATTTTTTCTTTTTTCTCCACCTTGGTTTCCTTTACTTTTCATACTTGACTACAACGTGGGGTCGTGTGGTATGAAAAAGGTAGAATGTATGTAGATCTTTTACGAGAATGTGGGATAGTGCGGTCTAGAAATGGTAAAGTGTAGATAGATCTTAATTTTGTATAGCAAAGATAGAAAGGATGTTTTCGAAATGAAAGAAGTAATGAAAAGGGAAAACGGCGCTAAGAAAACCTAGTTTTCGTACTCCGAAGATGGAAATTGTTGTTATTTATAGAGTTCGAGAAATGAAATGTTAGGATGTACCCTAGATTTGATTAGGGAAAAAATGGAATTTGAAATACTAACATTTATTATTTTTCTGAATTTTAATTGTTTTGACAAAAGATATTTTCTCCGTTATTTTTGCGATTTTTATTATAGAATTACTGTAATTGTTTTTACGTTTTTGGTGATCGCTGACCATTTTAAAATGAAGAAAATATAACTACTCAGAGTAAGATTAATACAAATATAAATTTTAGAAGAGATTTTATTTTTTTGGAGGATTAATTTTGGAAGAATTTTTAAAATTTAGAGTTCAGTAAATGAAATGTCAGCTCTTAAGGATATACCCTAGATTTGATTTGGAAAAAATAGAATTTGAAATAATATTCATCATTTTTCTAAATTTTAATTGTTTTGATAAAGATATTGTCTCAGACTTTTGTGATTTTATTATAGAATTACTGTTATTGTTTTTATGTTTTTGGTCATTGTTAACCATTATAATATGAAGAAATATTAATTAATCCAAGTAAGATTAATACAAATATATTTTTTAGAATAGTTTTTTTTTTTTGGAGAATTAATTTTTTAAAATAATTTAAAACTTTTGAGTTCGGGAATGAAATGTTAGTTCTTAAGGATATACACTAGATTTGATTTGAAAAATAGTAGAGTTTTAAGTAGTGTTTATCATTTATCTAAATTTTAATTGTTTTGATAAAGATATTTTCTCTGTGATTTTTGCGATTTTGATTACAAAATTATTGTAATTATTTTTACGTTTTTGGTGATCATTGACCATTTTAAAATGAAGAAATTAATTACTCTGAGTAAGATTAATACAATTATAATTTTTAGAATAGTGTTTTTTTGGGAGAATTAATTTTGGAAGAACTTTTAAAATTTAGAGTTTAGAAAATGAAATGCCAGTTCTTAAGGATATATCCTAGTCTTGATTTGAAAAAATTAAATAGAATTTGATATAATATTTATCATTTTTCTAAATTTTAATTGTTTTGATAAAGATATTATCTCCGTGATTTTCGCGATTTTGACTATATAATTACTGTAATTATTTTTACATTTTTGGTGATCGTTGACCATTTTAATATGAAGAAAAATAATTACTTTGATAAGATTAATACAAATATAATTCTTAGAATTGATTTTTTTTTGGAGAATTAATTTTGGAAAAACATTTAAAATTTAAAGTTTGGGAAATGAAATCTTGGTTCTTAAGCATATATCCTAGATTTGATTTGAAAAAAAAATTAGAATTTAAAATAATATTTATCATTTTTTTTGAATTTTTAATTGTTTTAATAAAGATATAATCTCCGTGATTTCATGATTTTTATTATAGAATTACTGTAATTGTTATTACATTTTTGGTGACCGTTGACCATTTTAATATGAAGAAAGATTAATTAATTTGAGTAAGATTAATACAAATATAATTTTTAGAATTTTTTTTTTTTGGAGAATTAATTTTGGAAGAACTTTTAAAATTTAGAGTTCAGAAAATGAAATGTTATTTCTTAAGGATATACCCTAGATTTAATTTGGAAAAAAATAGAATTTGAAATAATATTTATCATTTTTCTAAATTTTAAGGGGAAAAAGTTTGAAATATATCCGAACTTTGACCGAAATTGTTGTAACAATATCAAACTTTGAAAATGACATTTTACCCCCTGTACTATTTAATAGTGTATTTTAAACGTATATATGTGTCCACATGGACATCATAAATATTGCATCATTATAAATAGTAATGTGTCCACGTGTGCATCTTTAAAATACGCTATTAAATAGTGTAGGGGGTAAAAGGTCTTCCATAAAGTTTGGTATCATAACAACAATTTCAGCAAAAGTTGAAGTATTTTTCAGACTCTTTTCCCAAATTTTAATTGTTTTGATAAAGAAAATATCTCCATTTTTTTTTATAAAGATATTACTGCGTAATTTTCACAACTTTAATTATAGAATTACTGTAATTTTTACTACGCTTTTTGTGATTGTTAACCCTTTTAATATGAAGAAAAATTAATTACTCCGAGTAAGATTCATACAAATATAATTTTTAGAATCATTTTTTTGGAGAATTAATTTTGGAAAAACGTTTAAAATTTAAAGTTTGGGAAATGAATGTTAGTTCTTAAGCATATATCCTAGATTTGATTTGAAAAAACAAATCGAATTTGAAATAATATTTATCACTTTTCTGAATTTTAATTGTTTTAATAAATATATGATCTCCGTGATTTTCGTTATTTTTATTATAGAATTATTGTAATTGTTATTACATTTTTGGTGATCGTTGACCATTTTAATATGAAGAAAGATTAATTAATTCGAGTAAGATTAATACGAATAAATTTTTAGAATATTTTTTTTTTGGAGAATTAATTTTGGAATAACTTTTAAAATTCAAAGTTCAAAAAATGAAATGTTAGTTCTTAAGGATATACCCTAGATTTAATTTGAAAAAAAAATAGAATTTGAAATAATATTTATCATTTTCCTAAATTTTAATTGTTTTGATAAAGAAATTATCTCCATTTTTTTTATAAACATATTATCTCCGTGATTTTCACGATTTTAATTGTAGAATTACTGCAATTTTTACTACGTTTTTTGTGATTGTTAACCATTTTAATATGAAGAAAAATTAATTACTCCGAGTAATATTAATATAAATATAATTTTTAGAATAGTTTTTTATTTTTTTAGAATTAATTTTGGAAGAACTTTTAAAATTTAGAATTTGGGAAATGAAATGTTAATTCTTAAGGATATACTCTATATTTGATTTGGAAAAAATAGAATTTTAAATAATATTTATCATTTTTCTAAATTTTAATTATTTTGATAAAGATATTTTCTCCGTAATTTTCATGATTTTTATTATAGAATCACTGTAATTGTTATTACGTTTTTGGTGATTGTTGATTATTTTAATATGAAAAAAAATTAATTGATTCGAATAAGTTAATACACATATAATTGTTAGAATGTTTTGTTTTTTGGAGATGATTTTGGAATAAATTTTATTGTTTTATTAAATTTTGAATGATTAATTATTCCTTGTGGGTATTTTTTTTCTTTATTTTTCATTTAGAACATGCAAATTATAGCTATAACTCAAGAATAAAACACTAGTTCTTGTGGATTTATTCTTCATTCAATTTGAAAAAAAATGGAATTTGATATTTAATTTATTGTTTTTCTAAATTTTAATCGCACTAATACAGATATTAATTCTGACATTTTCGCGATTTTGACTTTATATAATTTATTTTTACAATTAAATTATTTACGACTACTAGTATTAAAATCTTAAAATGAATATAATTTTTTTTTAAGTAATTCATTGAAGAATCTTATTTATTTATGTTATTTAGGGACAATATATTTTGAGAGAACTTTTAATAGTTTTACCAGCTTTTTAATAAATAATTAGCTTTCGTAGATAATTTTTTTTGTTATAAATTTAGTTTTCATTTAGAACATGATAAATTATTAATAGAATTCAAGAAATGAAAAATTAATTCTTGAGAATGTAGTTGAGATTTTAATTGAAAAATATTGAAATTTGAGACAAAATTTAATTATTACTTTTCTCAATAAGTTTGTGATTTTGATTACTATGAGTATTGGATTATTTTCCTAACGATCATTAAGGTTTAAACCTTAATATGCAGATTAACAAATAGTCAATTCTTAGAATAGTTTATAATTTTTATAGAAAATAAATTTTGAGAGATCTTTTGTTATTTTATCATATTTTATGAATAACTAATTATCCTTCATGGATGACTTCCCCCCTTATTTTTCTGTAATAAATTTATTTTGCATTTAAAATATTAAATCATAAATAGAACTCAAATAATAAAATACTAATTTTTTAGGATGTACCTAGATTTATTTTGAAATTGAGATAAAATTTATAGTTTTTCTAAATTTTGATCGCTCTAATAAAGATGGTACTTCCATCATTTTTCGTGATTTTGACTATAAATTTACTATTGTTATTGAATTATTTTTCACTGTTAAGTGTCAAATTTTGATATATGAATTATCAAAAAAGTAAACTTTAGATAGTCCTATATTTTGATTATTATTATTTTTGGAGAATGAATTTTGAAAAAACTTTCATTCTTTGTGAATAATTTTTTTTCCTTTGCTTTTCTGTGATAAATTTAGGGATTTTTTTAGAACGTGAAATTATAAAATAGAACTCAAGAAATGAAATATTAATTCTTGAAAATGTGCCCTAGATTTGATTGGGAAAAATAGATTCTTAGATAAATTTATTATTTTTCTTAATTTTAATTATTTTGATAAAGTTATTACTTCCACCATTTTCATGATCTAGGCACATAGCTTACACCTGTAATGTGGTCGCTGTTGAATTATCTCTCAACTGACAATAATCGTTAATTGTCAATTGTTAACCAATAATCGTTAACCATTAACTGTTAACTGTTAACCGTTAATCATT